AACCGCTAATCTATTACAACATAATATTTAAATTTTCTAATATATAGTTTGTATATAATGGTAATTATGTACAATATTATTTATAAATAAGAACAATAGATAAAATATTGACCTCTAAATAGTAGGTAGGTACCTATTATACTGCATTCTTGCACTTTGGGGATCCTCATATATTTGAAATCAAACGGTGCCAGAATGAGTTTACATGAAATTTATTTTTTACAATGAAAAAAGAAAACTTATATCGTGTTAAATAACATCTTGTTTACTAATGACCTATAGGCACCTCTTTGATAAAAAAGAAATTAAGTATACCTATCGTGTGAGACGTAATAAAATCTTGATGATAACATTTAAGTAATTTCTATACAATTATAATAAGGTTTCATGACGTACTCATTACTTTTAATAATTTTGTATTCGATCATTATAAACTTATTTACATGTGGCATAATTCATTAGCTAAAAAGGTTAATTCGATTCTAATGAAATAGAACATCAAATTACTTGTTAATTTGTTTTTATTTACAAATACATTTGGTGATAAAAAATTAAAGATATTCAGATATAATCAAATACGAGCAAGTTTGCAAAATATCTGTTATACAGTAAACATAAAAATGTTATCAGCAAGTTTTAAATATTACTTAAAAGTGCCTACAATAATAGATAAGGACAAGTTTGAATAATAAATATTTTTAAGTTTTCCTTTTATTAATTTATGTTTATTGTATAATATTTAATATTTAAATAAATAATAAAAATAAATAAATAAATGTTTTGTTTATTAAGACTTATTAGGTACTTATTCCCGGTTAAGTTCAGATTTTAAAGGCTCGTTTTGCTCGCCTAATAAAGACAGTATCATTTTTAATTAGACGTTCTATAGTAATCTTTATTTTAAAATAAACCCATGAAAAACATAACATGTAGGTAAAAAAATACAAGTCTCGCATCGCAGTTCTTCTATCAAGCAAAAGTTTTGAGATCTAATATTAAGCCGGTTAATTTATTCAGTACCTACATCTATCCAACATCTTTGTTATATATTGTTACCTAATTAGATAAATAACAACATTTTCAACCGACTTCAAAAAGGAGGAGGTTCTCAATTCGACTGTATGTTTTTTTTTTTTATGTTTGTTACCTCAGAACTCCGTCATTTATTAACCGATTTGGACAATTTTTATTTTGTTTGAAAGGGTATACTTTCAGATTGGTCCCATTTAAATTTCAAAAAAAAAATACCACCCCTAAGGGTGGAAAAACAACTAATGATGAATTTAACCTACTTCTAATTGTCATATTGACTTGAAACTTTGCAAGTATTTCTATTTCCGTTGATAGTATAGTGGTTCGATATTGTTGACCTGATCTGATGGCAAGGCCAGAAGGTGGATAGGTGGAACTCTTCAACGGCTAATAGTAGATACTTTGAGTTTGGGCTTATTTTGTTTGATTTGACAAGCCTAACACGTTAGAATCCTTACTTTGCTACTACTGTCTACACTAAAAAGGGAAAAATAAAAACTTTTTAACAAAAAAATAAAAACCGACTTCAAACAAAAGCACTAAAAAGTAAAAAATAACTGATTGGTAGTTTTCATTTACTATACATACCTAATCAAATATTTTCGAAGTCGGTGTGCTTTGGCTAAGTAATTAAAGCCTACCTATTAAATACATACCTAATAAAATATTGTCGAAATCGGTGCCAGCCAATACAAAGCAAAGCACACCGACTTCGAAAATATTTGATTAGGTATGTATAGTAAATGAAAACTACCAATCAGTTATTTTTTACTTTTTATTAGTGCTTTTGTTTGAAGTCGGTTTTTATTTTTTTGTTAAAAAGTTTTTATATAGAGACCGTTTCAAAATTAGATATCTTTATTTCTTTAATAAATAGAATGACTTGGCCATTGCAGACGAAAAACAACAAACTTGACATAATAGTAGCATTCTGAGCGCATTATTTATGTTTATATATTCATGATCCGCTAGCGCTATGTTCAATTAGGATTATATAAAATAGATGAATAATCTATGTGTTTATGTTTCCGTCCGATGGCCAAGTCATTCTATTTATTAAAAAACTAAAGATATCTATTAGGTTGTTCGGAAAGTAATTTCTTATTTTTAAGAAAACTAGCGACTCACCCTCGCTTCGCTCAGGTTCGTCCCTAGCTTGCTTCCCAATACATACTTTCATCCCCAATTTCCGGGATATAAAGTATTCTATACCCTTCCCAGGGTCTCAAACTATCTTCTTACCAAATTTTATCTAAATCGGTTCTGTAGGTACAGAGATTACCCCTGCAACGACACAAACTCACAAACTTTACCTCTTTATAATATTAGTATTTAGTATAAATGAAAGACGATTTTCTTATAGCAAATAAATATTATATTGAATTATATATTATCCAATCTGGTTCAATAGCTTTAGCCATCTTTCTGGCAGTAGCATGATTCCACGTACAAAAAATGTTTGGCTTTTGCTGGCTAAAACTGATCCAGGTAATTTTTGACTCCTCATTGGAAGTAAAGGTTTTACCGTCTAAAAAATTTTTGTAAAGACCGGAACAAATAATAATCAGAAGGTGCCAGGTCTGGTGAATATTGTAGGTGTGGGAGTAGGTATATCACATCTAAGCTGTAGAAGCTGTCTGCGAGTAAACAAACTCCCTTTCTCTTTTGTTTAAGTAAATCATTCAATTTGTCCAGCTGGTGACAGTACACTTCAGAATTGATCGTTGTGTTGTCCAGTAGAATCTCAAAAAAAAACCTTTGAAATCCTACCAAACAGATAGCATTACCTTTTTTTGATGAATATCGGCTTTCAAAGTGCCTTGAGACTCTCATCTTTTTTACTTCATGATCTCTTGCGTTTATCATTGTTGTAGAAGTCCCATTTTTCGGCTGCAGTGATGATGCGCTTCAAAAATGAATCATTTTCTTGACTTTTGAGAAGTAAATCACAGACGTCAATGCGATAACACCACAATTTTATTTTAATAAGAATATGAAGAATGAACGGTTTTCATAAAATTACGAACGATTTCATAAAACTTAATCTTTCCACGATTTCACGAATTGTTATTTAAAATATATAATGATTATGCGATTTAAATCTTAAAGTCAGCAATCCTTAGTCTTAAAAATACAATAAAATATTACACAAGTAGGGATACTAATATAGGCTAGAGTGTGGAGTTCGTCAAGGTGGGCTTACATCACCGGATCTTTTTAACGTTTAAGTAAATAATCTGATAGAGGAACTGAGAATCATAAACGTTGCCTGTCACATCGGTGGTGTGAGCATAATGGGGCGTCGCAGGATCGCTTACGCATTCAACTACGACGCCCCAACGGCAGGTCTGCCGAAGCAGACCACAACAACCATGGGGTTGCTCCAAGGTCCACTTTGCTATCGGAGAAGTACCAGGAGCAACCCGCATGGTACACCGCCCACCAAAGAGGGCCACCTCCCACCGCCCACCGAAGTGGGCCACCTCCCTGTGCGTTTCTTGGATTCGCGCCCGCCTGGATTGCCGGGCTCTACTGAGCCCCCCCCCCTCACCACGACAAGGTGAACGCACGTTGGGGGGGGGGGGGGAACTCAATTTAGCCTGCTATAAGAACGCTAAGATCGCTTGCCTTCGCCACGCAACATCAACTTATAAATATAGCATAGGTATATAATATACAAGCAACTCACCCTCCCTTCGCTTGGTTTTGTCCCTAGGTTGATTGCCCATACAAACTTTCATCCCCATTTTCACGCCCTAAAAAAATGATTTCCGAGATAAAAAGTATCCTATGTCCTTCTCAGGGTCTCAAACTATCTTCTTACCAAATTTCATCTAAATCGGTTCAGTAGATCTATAGATTACCCCCTACAACGTTACAAGCTCACAAATCACAAGCTCGCAAACTTTACCTCTTTATAATATTAGTATGTATAAGTATAGATTATTAAAGTCATCATCTGGTGCTTACTGTACTATATATCGACTATTTACCTACCTATCCGTTTGAGTTGTTTAAGTGACGAAAAATGATATAAATTGCAAATGTAACTGTAATCGCATACCTATTTATATAGGATTACAAAGTTACTTATGTAGTTTGTTGTATATCTAGAAAACGACATTTTTAATTTTTCCTTTTTTTATAGGCTCAGCACTAATTGTGTTCAAAATTTGAAGCTCGTGTATCTGCTAGAAGTACCTTAGAATTTTAGTGATCGGTGAGTGAGTCAGTGACGAAATTAAAGTATTTTGAGCTGCAATAGTTTTTAAAGCGCAGGTTCAAAATTCAAACTGAATATAATTTGGGAATATACCTAGTTATACTATGTTCTCTTAGTCACTGAATATTAAGGCTTCTAGCTTTATCCACAACGAAGTTACAAGGGAGTCGAAAATGTCCTGGCTTCGAGAAAAGGATGGTACGATTGTCCCTTTTATTGTTCGACTTGACGGAAGCACTGCTGTGCCCCCAGATTGTATTCAGCTAAAAATAATTGAAATAAGAATACATTTCATATTATAATATATTATACTATGTGCTATTACATATATGTATTATGTAAATTAACACATCTTTTATTCCGTTTTTTTTCGATGATGATTAAAATAATTATATGAACTTGTCAGACTTAAATATTGCAATTTAAATTATTTTTGTATTTTCTTTACATGGTAAGTAAAATATGAATTATATTTAAATGTCACATAAAGTAAACAAAGAAACCAATAGAACCAAAGTACTCAAAGTAGTACATATTTATTGAATTTTAACTTGATAGGCTAACATTTATTATTGAGTGAATCCTTCACACGTAAACAAAAACAGTTAACGTGATACTTGTTTATCGCAACCGATTCTATATAAAGGATCCGTCGAGTGTTCATGTAGTATTTGTTTGTGAATAAACTACGTGTATAGTGCGTTGCTCTGGCCTGTGTGGAGACAAATTATTAAAATAAAACAACATGGCCTCAAGAGACCCCGCCTCTGATCAACTTGTTCATTATAAAAAAAGTTTAAAGGTAAGAAAGTTTGTGAGATATCATTTTATTGTATGAATTTTGTTGGTAACTTTTAGGTTATGTAAATGCAGCTATTTAAGTGAGATTGATAGTACTTAGTAATGAACCATTTTTTAATATTGTGCAACATTTTGTAGTTTTATGCTACTGCGCCATGCATTTTTAATTTTTATAAGGATAATGAAGTAGATATCTATAAATAAACAATGCTGAGGCCTGAGAAGGTATACTCGCAATCTGTTCATAACCACAACATTGATAAATCCTACTTGGCGTCCCCTTATCGGCAAGCAGCGTTCATAACTGGTTTTATGTTATAGTTTTAATAACAAATATTTTGATAACTTTAAATTTTCTTATATACAGCGATATAATATTTAACATTTAACCTCCATATAATTTGTTTATGTAAAGAAATATATTTTTGTGTACATATTTTTTTTTAATTGTATGCGTCATGAAAATAACTAAAGTTAGTTAGTTTATAAGGTTTTTACTGTGAGTTTTGTTAAATAATTAATAAAATTAAAATGTATGCGAATTTATTTAATCATATTATCATGCTATAATTATATTATACTTCTCATAATTGTTAAGAAAACTGTGGCGCATAAAATGTAAAATTACATTGTAAAATAACACATATTTTTAATATTACAGGATGCTGTTGGTTATATAACTACAAAATCTGGAGCACCAGTGGGAATAAAAACTGCCATTCAGACAGTTGGGAAAAATGGACCAGCTCTTCTTCAAGATTTTCAATTCCTTGATGAGATGTCAGCTTTCGATAGAGAACGTATCCCAGAAAGAGTAGTTCACGCAAAGGGTGCTGGTGCTTTTGGATACTTTGAAGTTACACATGACATCACTAAGTATTCAGCGGCTAAAGTGTTTGAAGGCATTGGTAAAAAAACGCCTATTGCAGTCAGGTTCTCAACTGTTGGTGGAGAAAGCGGATCCGCGGATACTGTTCGTGATCCTCGAGGATTTGCTGTCAAATTTTACACTGAAGATGGAATTTGGGACCTTGTTGGAAACAATACTCCTATATTTTTCATAAGGGATCCTACGCTATTCCCAAGCTTTATTCATACTCAGAAAAGAAATCCTGAAACTCATTTGAAAGATGCTGACATGTTTTGGGATTTCCTAACTCTCAGACCAGAGTCAATGCATCAAGTTCTTTATTTATTTGGCGATAGGGGCATTCCTGATGGTTATAGGTTCATGAACGGTTACGGTTCCCACACTTTTAAACTTGTTAATGCGCAAGGAGTTTCACATTGGGTTAAATTTCACTATAAGACCAATCAAGGTATTAAAAACTTACCCGTAGAAAAAGCTGCAGAGCTTGCATCATCTGACCCTGACTATGGTATCAGAGATTTATACAATGCTATTGCAAAAGGCGATTGCCCATCTTGGACTTTTTACATTCAAGTTATGACGATGGCACAGGCTGAAAATTGTAAGTTTAACCCATTTGACTTGACCAAAGTATGGCCTCATGCTGAATATCCACTTATTCCTGTGGGAAAACTCGTATTGGATAGAAACCCGAAAAATTATTTTGCTGAAGTTGAACAAATTGCTTTCAATCCAGCAAACTTAATCCCGGGAATTGAACCTTCACCTGATAAGATGTTGCAGGGCCGCTTGTTTTCATATGGTGACACACATCGTCACCGCCTTGGTGCAAACTATCTTCAAATACCTGTTAACTGCCCATACCGTGTCACCGTTGCTAATTACCAGCGTGATGGACCGCAAGCTATAAGCAACCAAGAAGGTGCACCCAACTATTTTCCCAACTCATTTTCGGGACCCCGAGAATGCCCTCGTGCTCAACGTCTTCAGCCAAGATATAATGTAAGCGGTGATGTTGACAGATACGATAGTGGCCAGACTGAAGATAACTTTTCCCAGGCTGCAGAACTATATAAAAAAGTATTTAGTGACGCAGAAAAGGACCGTGTTGCTGCCAATTTTGTCGGTCACTTGAAAGACGCTGCTGGTTTTATTCAAGAGCGTGCTATCAAAATGTTCTCCCAGATTCATCCAGATTTAGGTAGCAAGGTAGCTGCTGGGCTCGCTCCATACAAAAAATTCCACGCTAACTTGTAAATAATATATTACTAAAAATGGTTGGTACAGGTGCTGTTTTTTATAATATTACACATAAATGTTTTTTGTCAAATTGGTTTAATATTCTTAATTTGATAAGTCTGTTATTCCGCACATTATATTTTAATGACATCCCAGGTTAAAAAAAGGATACTAGTTAATATACATTTTAAGTTTAGGTATAGGTTCTGTGGGATTTTACTTTCGCTGTCTTTTCACTTATCTTTATTTTAATTTTTACTATGAGAGTTCACTTGCCTAAAACAAAAATGAAGGTGTAATTATGAATTGTGTACAATAACTAATTTCTACCTTTATGTACATTTGCTTAAATTCACATAAGTCTGCCTCTCTGTATAAACATATTATTTAGACCTTTCAAATTTAATTAAACTATAAAATAGCACGCGCTTTCCCTACACACATTCGAACAAATTCGTTTTAAATATTTCTAATTTGTAACGTTGGGTAATTGCTACCATATTGATATATTACCGAAAACTAGTTCTTCTAACGTTTAAATGAAATGAGTCTCTTACTCTATTACCTCATGATGGTGCAGGTTTTAATAAAATTGTTAGCGTTAGTTTTCGATGAAAAATTGAGATAAATGTTTAGGCAATTGTATAAATTTACAAGATTTTTGAAAATTATATTTTAGATTTTACAATTACCACCATTTATTCAATATGGCGGTCACTCAAGGTCGCGAGGCCGGAATATTAGGAATCTACTACGAAATTAAAACACTTGACCATTTGTAATTCAAAAGCCGCCTATCGATAAGATTAATTGGAAGATACAATAAGTAGATAAAGTAGAAAGACTTCAATAAAAATGCACAACTAATAATGTGATAATTCATAATATGAAAATACTTTATTTTAGCTATATTATTATATACATAATGAATAAATGTTATAAATAAATTATAAACTATAATCGTGCTGTTTAATTATAGCTTTGTATGTACCAATATATATATTTGTACTAGTTAGCCTCGCCAAAAGGATTGGTTTGGATTACATACGTTTGAGGGTTTGTTACAAGAAATGCTTGCTCGAAACCAGGTTGAGGCCGTTTACTTGTAAGTGAATACGAACGAGATTTTTTATTTAAGATTTATATTAAGGTTAGGTGGATACGTGGCTTCGTCATGTGAAATTAAAAAAAAAAGAAGATATCTTCAAAATTACAATATACAGATAATACAAAAAAATTATTACTTTTCTATATAAAATATAGAGAAGTAGTTTGTGACGTTGTAGGGGGTAATCTCTGGCTCTACTGAACCGATTTAGATAAAATTTGGTAAGAAGATAGTTTGAGACCCTGGGAAGGACAAAGGATACTTTTTATCCCGGAAATCATCCCTTAAGGGAGTGAAAATGTGGATGAAAGTTTGTATGAGGAATCAACCTAGGGACGAACCCGAGCGAAACGAGGGTGAGTCGCTAGTCTGTTATAAAGTAACAGGTAGATACAGGTACAAGTATGCTTTATAGTATAGGTCGTCTGGTATTAGTGGGTAACACCGTACACAAACACACTCACCTAAGTGATGGTCACTCCTCCAAAAACTAAAACTAAGTAATTTTTTGAAATATATAATTTTCCTTCTCGCAAAATATCTATCAGATATATTGATACCGATGACATTGTCACGTCATTGCAAAAGTAAGAATTTAGAATGAAGTATAATCGAAGTCTATTGGTCTATCACATATAATAAAATTCTGAGTCGAATCTGAACATTAAATATTTTTTGGAAAATCTTATTGTAATAGACATTATTATCGATACAGAGGCCGAATCTAGAGTTTATAGAATTTTTCTGTCTTTCTGTCTGTTACCGCATCACAGAAAAAGCACTGGAGGGATTTTGATCAAATTTGGTATGGTGATAGCTGGTTATCCAAGTCAACATATAGGATACTTATTACCGCGAGAACATATCTCATTTCTGAGAAAAAATACAAAAACTGCAATGTAAGAGTATACTAATATGTAAAATCTAATAATTTGGTTTTTGGTCATCTGAACGCGGGCGAAGCCGCGGGCAAGTCTATACATGTAATAAAATTGTAAGTAAGCCGAATCTGCACATTCAATATTTTTTGGGAAATCTTATTGAAATAGACCTTATTATCGATACAGAAGCCGAATATATTATACTTTTTAGAATATTTGTCTGTCTGTCTGTCTGTCTGTTACCGCATCACGGAAAAACCACTGGAGGGATTTTGATGAAATTTGGTATGATGATAGCTGGATATCCGGGTCAACATATTTACTGCGGGAAAATATCTCATTTCTGAGAAATCTATACTAAACGTTAAAACGTAAGTAGGGACGTACCCGAGCGGAGCGAGGGTGAGTCGCTAGTAAGGACTAATAAAGCTAAAAGGATATAGGCATATATTTTCTTATTCTATGCCTTTTTTTCTAATTCTCTGATACTTTTTGTTTATTTTTTCTTAAATTTGCGTATATACGCAGATCGTATTTAATTACAAACTACAAATGATATGCCATCCAAATCCAAACTTTTACTCAAGATACCTGCAGATAAGTGCAGTTTCTATTATTATAACTTTCATAATTCGGAGGGACGAATATGTTACACTACACTACATACAGGATATCCATAATAATAAAGGCGATAGCTGTTGTAGAAAGATAGTAATGATGTAAACATTTAATAATTAACCAATTCAATTGAAATGTTTGTGTGCATTGGGTACCTACTTACATAGTACGTACCTACGTAAAATGTACGTATACGTCAAAACACAAAAGCAATGAAATTGATACTTGCTTAAAAAGTTAAAATACTTACGATATTTGCCTCCAAAAAATAATCTTCAATCCTCATAATCTATTTTACTAATTTGTGCAGATTAAAGTCGAATACTATTATTTAAACACACTAATGAATAATATGTGATAACAACAGTTATCTGTTGTCATAAAAAATAAAATGTTTCTTTTCAAAAATAATTTTATCTGTTATCACTTGTAATATATTATGTATGATTAGCACTGTCATTGAAATACTCGAACGTATTTAATTTTTGATTAATTTATGCTTAATTCTTGACTTTACTGACTTTTTAAATTCTGTAGTATATTAATTTGTTGTATCCAGGTAACCATTTGGTTCATATTTTCTATGTTTATCTATACTCATATTATAAAGAGGCAGAGTTTGTTTGTTTGAACGCGATAATCTCAGGAAGCCTATCTGTATCCATATTGTAATTTATATTATATAATAAAATTTTGTGTCGAAACTGTACATTAAATATTATTTGGAAAATCTTATTGAAATAGTCATTACAATCAATACAGAGTACGAATCTATAGTTTTTAGAATTTTTGGTCTGTCTGTGTGTATGTGAACGCATCACGAGATAACCACTGGACAGATTTTGATAAAATTTGGTATGATAGCTGGTTATCCGTTTTAATATATAGGATACTTTTACTGCGAGAAAATATCTCATCTTTGAGAAATCTATAATAAACGCTAACGTTTCTAGGGACCGTATAGCGCGAAGGTGAGTCGCTAGTAGGTTATATAATATATTATAAAATGGGAATATTATAAAATGGGATAGATGCCATACTAACCGTTGAAACGTAGGGACGAACCTGAGCGAAGAGAAGGTGACTACTGGTTACCGCTAGCAAATAATATGATAACATTTAAATACATAAGATAGGTAAATACAATTAATAAATTAGAATACCGACATTGAGGAAGATAAAATGGTACCATTTTTTTTATTTTTTTACCATATCTTTATTAACAAAAAAGAAAATTACAAATATACTTAATTATATATACAAAACATATGTACACTTAGTTATTACTGTACAAGTTATGTCCGCGTGGAATAGTGGCAAGAATGCTAGCCGCATTCCCCCGTTGAATGCAATGCCGATTCTTTGGGCGAAAAATGGGCCAGCCCTCCTGTCACCAGTAGAGGTGATAAGACGGGGTGTTATGTCTTTTAAGAAGAGCTTAGTACTTTGACTCCATGGGCCAAGGGTTTTTACAGCGAACTGTTTCTGTTTCTTTTGGGTACCGGGCACCTACGACGGTATGCATCTATAAAACGAAATATTGACTTCTTTATCTAAAAAGTTTAATATTAATTACTTTACTTTTTTTTAAAACAATCAAAGACATAAATAAGAGGTACATATTGATTTGTGTTTAAAAAAATTACATAATACCTAGTGCCATCAACTTGTTATTGTAGAAAATACATTTAGTCAGATAAAATTTAAGTGTTCTTGAAGACTGACAATTAATGCTTTAATGATAAATGATAATAAATTATTATTTTACTTCAATAAAGATTTGGAGTCTTTATTTTTTTGGAACGCAATAGTTAACAATATTTATAAATATGTTGTTTATAAATATTGTTAATTCTAAAAAAATAATTTGTTACATTGATATGTACAAAATTATTCAGGGACATGTTAGATCAGTGTTTAGAAAGGTCTATAATAAATCCCTGTGGTTCCACACCATGCTCTCGTCAATGGTAGTGACGTTGGTTGTAGGTTACCTAACTTGCTTGACTTCCATACTTTGAAGATGCTATTTTTTACAAAAAATATATTTTTACGATATTAAGCTTATTTATCATACTAGGGATTCATCTTCGCTTAGTTCGCCAGGTAGTAGGTACGTTTTAACGGTTAGGGGTATAGATAGACTATATACAGTCTGACCATAAATACTGTTACAATTAAAAATAAACAAAATACTTATTACATTTGAATTTGGTATCTGTCATTGATTGATCATTGTGTTTTCTCATTTTCACGCCAATACATTGTAAAATATTTTGTGATATTAAAATGGAGTGGGGTGATAAAGAGAACCGAATCGCTGTGCAACCGAATTGCATTACAATCTACACAAAGTAGGTATGGAGCCAAATACAATTTTTAAAACTCTCCATACGCTTAGTATTAGTTAAATGTTTGTGTACCGGGCTATTGATAGGTACAATGAAACCTCCTCTGTTTGTGACAGAAAAAGATCTGGCATTCCACGAAGTGTTTCTACGAAAAAGGCGATCAAAGCAGTAAGGGAAAGAATTCGAAATTTCTAATAAAGAATTCGCAAAAGATTCTATGTCTTGGGATGAAGATAGCACTTAGAACCATGTCGCGTATTTTAAAAGATGACTGAGGACTTACAGCCTATAAGAGACGCACTGGTCATACCTTAACTGATAATTTAAGAAATAATAGGGTGGTATAATCAAAACAACTACTTAAGCGGTATGCAAAAGAAGGTCACAGAAAAAATTTGTTTACGGATGAGAACATTTTTACAATTGAGCAATATTTTAACAAACAAAATGAGCGTATTTATGCTCAAAGTTCTAAGGAAGCTTCCCAATTAGTCAACAGAGTACATCGTGGGCATTATCCGACTTCAGTGATGGTTTGGTGGGGTGTTAGCTATGAAGGAGTAACTGAGCTATATTTTTGAGAAAAAGGTATCAAAACATCGGCACAAGTTTATCAAGATACCATTCTTAGAAAATAGTTAAGCCTCTTAACAACACCATGTTCAATAACCAAGAATGGTCCTTTTAGCAAGACTCGGCGCCGGGTCATAAAGCTCGATCCACGCAATCTTGGTTAGAAACCCACGTTCCAGACTTCATCAGAGCTGAAGACTGGCCGTCATCTAGTCCCGATATTAATCCGCTGGATTATGATTTATGTTCAGTTTTAGAGAGTATAGCTTGCTCTAAATGCCATGATAATTTTGAGTCCCTAAAACAATCCATACGATTGGCAGTGAAGATTTTTCCCACGGAAAGAGTTGCGTGCTTCTATTGTTAACTGGCCTCAACGTTTAAAGGACTGTATTGCAGCCAATGGAGACGACTTCGAATAAGCTTTATATGTTTTTAATGGTTTTATATTAATGTATTAAACTAACACACTGTAATAGTAATAAATGTTACGTGCAATAGAAAAATTGTTTTTTTCTTTGTAACAATATTTATGGCAAGACTATGTATATTAACACAGATCACTATACTCTACTAGTATAGATGCCTCATCCCATACACAGAAATCGGATAGTGCTAATTCGGGCTACGTTTGTTTGCTTGAATATGTAATAGATGTCGTTGATTCGCAAATAGTGAACAGTTTTATTTTACAAATATGTACAAACTAACAAAGTGTAAATATTGTAAAAATAATCCAGCACAAAAAACCTGTTATTTTAACAATTTTTAAACGTGATTATTCATGAAAAGTAAAAGCGCCATCTGTGAATATACTAGGATAGAACTTTCAATAATCAGTAAAATTACACGCAATTTGATTTACGAGCACTTTATTTATTTTCCCTTCAGTTACAGTTAGAATATTTTTTAAAACAATAATATACATTTTAGGTATCTATTTTTTTATCTTTTGTCAATTTAACACAACTTAATTAGTAACAAATTGGCACGTGTAACGTCTTCTATTAACATTTATTTCTCTTTTTCATTTCATTACTATTTTTTCTTTTTTCGTGCTATGACGCTATGATATTATATATGTATATACTATATACATAGGTATGATGAGTTTTCTGTTTTCCCGTGGGAATAAGATAATCTCCTACCGTGAATAGTCTTTCATTGTCGTGCCCTCCAATTATCTCCATACAATTACGCCAATCCATCACTCTGTTTCTACGTGAAAGAAGGACAAACAAACACACTTTTATAATATTAGTATGGATATTGTGTCTTCTTCAAATGAAGGTACTGAACAGGAAAAATTATAAAGTGTAATAAAAAAGTAAGTAAATATATGAGTCCTATTAGGTGACCCAATTACGGTCTAATATTGTGGAAATAAAAAAGTGTATATTTATATGGGTCAGGCCGTACAACATATTTTTCCCACAGAAATAGTATTGTCACTTTTTTATTTGAATTGCAAAGTTAGGTTCAAGTTTGCTATAGCTTAAATTTTGATTTAGCCTTAATGGCATAGGAATCTAGAAAATAGGAAAATTTTCTAAATTAATAAGTCGAAAATCTAGAGATCAATATTTTTACCGCATATTAGGTATGTAAAGAAAATTAACCTTAAATATTATCTCCTTTAATTTTCGCTCTCGGTTATCAATTTTAAGTGCATTGATGATACGTAAATATTTAAACGCGATAATGTGTACATTATCAGTAGCGACTATATAAAAGGGTCATCTGAGCACACACGAAATATTTGTGAACACGGTACGCGTCCAGTGCGTCGCTCCGTTACTGTGGACGAATAAATTTTTATTTATATTTCCAAAATGGCTTCAAGAGATCCCGCTTCCGATCAGCTCGTTAACTACAAAAAATCTATAAAGGTAATTTTTTGGTTTAATATTTGATGTTTTACACAAATAAAGGCATTACTTGGCATACTTATATTTTCATGTTTAAATATGAGATATGGGTACATACAAAGTTTATTACATACGAATAATACATTTTGAACTTGAACTTTGCCATTCTTTATCATTCTACAAATTTGATAAAATCTACTACTATCTTTATATCATTTTAAAAACATATGTATGTATGTATGTAACATAATATAATGCTTTGACTTTACAATTATTGATAAGAATATCTGATAAATAATTTAGGGAAAGCATACAATATGCACAAAATATAATTTTGACTTACTTGTGTACATTTCTATTGTTATTTAGCTAATTCTGGTTATTAACTTCAAATTAATGCTCTGCGAATTTACTGGTCAAAGTTAATTAAATATTTTCGTGGCACATATTTTTTTGTATCTTATTTAAAAAATATATTAAAGGTGGAAATGAAAGGTGCATTATTATTTATAGAAAATGTCTACCAGTACTTCTTGCACTTTTGTGAATTTATTTGAAGCATTATATTTTTAAATATTTCTAATTTATTATAGATACGTATACACATTATTTATTTGAAAAAAATCTTTGGAATTTGGAATAAATTATTATATATGGTTTTTTTTAATATTTTTTTATAACAAGCCAAAATATTTTTTTTATAATAGGCAACTAGTATTAATAAACATTTTAATTAAAATTTTATACCTTATTAATATTTCACAAAATAATTATTTATTCATTTGCATATTATTTAATTTTCAATAACAAAATAATTTTAAACAATATATTTTAATTTCTAATTACTTACTTTAACTAGCCTTTGGAATTCATGATGCAAAAGAAACTCTGGATTATGCAATATATTAATGAATGTAATCGCTTTTTCAGGGTTCACCTGGGTCTATTACCACAAAATATGGTGCACCAGTTGGAATTAAAACTGCTGTTCAAACAGTAGGAAAACGTGGACCTCTTCTACTTCAAGATTCTCAATTTTTAGATGAGTTATCATCTTTCGATAGGGAACGTATCCCAGAAAGAGTAGTTCACGCAAAGGGTGCTGGTGCTTTTGGATACTTTGAAGTTACGCATGACATCACTAAGTATTCAGCGGCTAAAGTGTTCGAATCCATTGGAAAAAGAACACCCATTGCTGCCCGATTCTCTACTGTTGGTGGGGAAAGTGGATCAGCTGATACTGTCCGTGATCCCCGTGGATTTGCTGTCAAGTTCTATACAGATGATGGAATTTGGGATATTGTTGGAAATAATACACCTATTTTCTTCATCAGGGACCCTACACTATTTCCAAGCTTTATTCATACTCAAAAAAGGAATCCTGCTACTCACTTGAAAGATGCTGATATGTTTTGGGACTTTATGACATTAAGACCTGAGACCATGCATCAGCTCATTTACATGTTCGGAGACAGGGGTATTCCTGATGGTTACAGGTTCATGAATGGTTATGCTTCCCATACTTTTAAACTTGTGAACGCTCAAGGACTCGCACACTGGGTAAAGTTCCACTATAAATCCAATCAAGGTATTAAAAACTTGTCAGTTGATAAAGCTGCAGAACTTGCTTCATCAGATCCGGATTATTCTATAAGAGATCTTTACAATGCTATTGGTAGGGGTGAATACCCAACATGGACTTTGTATATTCAAATCATGACTATGGCTGAAGCTGAAAATTGTAAGTTCAATCCATTTGATTTAACTAAAATCTGGCCTCATGGTGACTACCCTCTTATTCCTGTGGGTAAGTTGGTGTTGGATAGAAACCCTAAAAATTACTTCGCAGAAGTTGAGCAAATAGCTTTTAGTCCATCTAACTTGGTGCCTGGCATTGAGCCTTCACCCGACAAGGTGTTACAGGGTCGATTATTTGCGTACAGCGACACCCATCGCCACCGTCTTGGTGCTAATTTCTTGCAGATCCCAGTTAACTGCCCATACCGGGTAACTGTTGCCAATTACCAACGCGATGGACCACAAAATTTGTGTAACCAAGCCGATGCACCTAATTATTTCCCGAACTCATTCTCTGGACCTCAAGAATGTCCACGTGCTGAACGTGTTGTACAAAGATACAGCTTGAGCGCTGATGTTGACAGATACGATAGTGGCCTGACTGAGGATAACTTTTCACAAGCTAGCGTTCTCTATAAAAAGGTCTTTAGTGATGCTGAAAAGGAACGTGTTGTTGTTAATCTTGTAGGCAATTTGAAAGACGCTGCTGCCTTTATTCAAGAACGTGCCATTAAGTTGTTGACTCAGGTTGACTCAGACTTAGGCAACAAGGTGGCTGCTGGACTTGCTCCATACAAAAAATATCATGCAAACTTGTAAAAAATAAAACAGGATGAAATATAGGTGCTATTTTTAAGACATTTTTTAATACTCATTTTTTTACAATATTTGTATGATTGGGATACACAACATGGCAAGGGAAATACTTGGAAACACTTTTTTATTACATGTTAATAAAGACTTTTACATACTTTTTTATTTAGGTATATACATACATCACCAGCAGTTTACATATATATTTCATAAAAAATGTGTTTTTTTCATTAACATATTATATTCTTACTGTATATATTGGAGGGTAGTTGTTTAATACGGAATACCTATAGAATCAGACTGCCAAATAAACAATGAGTACTCATAATTTAAATTAAAAAAATAGTTAATATACTTTTCTATTATAACTTACAATAGATTAAAATCTGCTTATATATACCTTTATAATACATACATACGTAATATAATATAAAATATATTTATTTTATATTACATTTACATACATTTTGCTTTACAATTATGTGACAAATTAATAGTTAATTAAAATATGAAGAATCAGAGAAACCTATCAAATGCCAGTTCGGATGTTTTCCTTTTCAAATTATTACAGAATTTACTAATTATAACTAGTTCATATATCTAGGAAAAGTTTAATAAATTTATATTATTATATTCACAGCCATTCGGTTCTCTTTAACACCCCACTCCATTTTAATATCACAAAATATTTTTCTATGTATTGGCGCGAAAATGAGAAAACAATAAACGAACAATCATATAAAAATGACAGATTCCAAATTATTCAAATGTAATATTTTGTTTATTTTTAATTGTAACAGTATTTATGGCCAGACCTTTTTAAATAATGCAATCTGTGGGGTGATAAATGTTTATTATTCAATTTATGATTCGATCTGGAAGTCACGATCCTATTTGCAACATTTTTATGTGTTACCAGTCGTGAAAATGATAATACCGCCAATAATAACATAACACATCATTTTTCCAATGAGAGCACTCTAAGTTTCAAGTTTAGAACTTGGGCTTCTACGAGTATTTAAATATTCTGATAGATGGCGTTTAGTGACAAGAAAAAAACATTGCAGCTTATAACATTTTACGCCGTATTTATAGCTTAATATTTTACTTTTTAGGATAATGTTGTCTATCACATAAAAAATTAAGTCCAGGATTTTTGTATTTTTACATTGCGGTGTAATGAGTGGTATCAAATATATAAACTAATAATTACTTGATTACTTATTGACTTGTTCACTAGATGGCGATGTTTTGTGAAACTCCAACTAAATTCTATTTTAGGTAATCCACTTTCAAGTAAAATTGAGTCAACATATTGAATTAAATCCATAATATTATATCCCCCATAGCCATTAGACGATCTTATTCAGGCTGTTCATTTGGTTATTTTAGCTTTCTTTAATAAACAATAGGTAGCATTGAAATTCATTGATTTAAATAATGTACCTATTACTTTAAAATTTATATGCCTTTATTCACAATCATAGTATTTTTTAAATATATAATACATATAATTTTTTTGGATCTTTTTTAAATTAATTTTACAATCATTGAATTATATTTTTATTTTATTACGACACGAGTAACGTGATAAATATATAATATTTGTAGGTAAAAATCTAACAATCAGACAATTACCAACAATCAAGCAAAAGTGGTTCTTCGAGTTTCGATAAATTAAAGCCCTATAGTCCACCGAGGGTCTAGGTATTATCATAAATGGCGAGTATGTACATCACCTACTTTCGATTTGTTGACGATATACTTGTGGGATATGTGAAATTACATGAGATCTCCGCATGATTCTTGATGATGACCTTAATAGAGCTTCCGAAGAGTTGGTCTAAAGATAAATAAAGAAGAGACAAAAATTATGTCAATGGTCCTTGTAGCATTATCTTTAGTTTCATCAGGGACTCTATACTCGTAGAGCAATAGAGAAAGCTTTGCTTGAAACTCTATGAAATTGGATCATAAATAAGGAGATACGCAGAGGGACATTACCGACATTTCTCGCAAGGTTCATCAATTGTTGAACGGATGGTCGATAATATATTCTAAGAGTTCCTGAGGTACGCCTCAAGCTAAGACAGACGCAGGGCGATGACCTGGTGAAGGTCAGCAGGATTCACCAGATGCCAAGGACTCAAAAGCTTCAAAATATGTGAGGTCAGCCTATATCTTTCGGCTTAAACGGCGATTCACTATATTATATATTAATACAAAATACCAGTTTATTGATTTAAAAGCGATAATTCTCATTGCAATGTTATCATTTTTAAAGATTCATAACAAACTTTTCCTATGTGTAAGCTCAGGCCAAACTGACATTATTTTCAAGTATGTTTTTAATATACCTTTTTAATCATTTCGTTATCATGGTAACAGCTTACAGCATACATGCAGACTTTACAGGCATAGAAACCGTATGCCGTTTGCATCCATTGGTAGAAACATACAGCCTGGTTTGCAAACCTTCCAATCACCTATATCTAGAAGAAGTATACAATGCATATACCTACCGCTCGTACACCAGAAAACTTAAAAGATACACTATTACCAGAAACACATTGACCTCGGCATGAAACCTTATAGTTAGTAGGTACTACGTCGTATCCAGCTTTCCATTATATCCACAATACAAAACGCACTACAAGAAGAACTACTTAAAACATTTCCAAGGCCCATATTTGGCTCTATAATATCGAATCGTGGTCGTCTATGTAGTCAAACCTCTCAAAGATAGGTAAGTAGGTACTTGACCTTTACATAAAATATAAAATTCAACATATTTGTTACGTGAGTTCGAAAATTTCATAGGTAGTACTTATTAAGAATTTTAAATGAGGGATTACATTTTCTTGTTATAAATGAATAATAATTGAAAACACTGCAGAAGTTCTATCTTATTTTTGTTTTAAGTAATCAGTTCATTAAAATATTTTAAAAGCGTTAATCTCATTTAAATATCTCAGAGATACTTAGTCAAAGTGGCATTCTTGTCTACGTTAGTTATGTACCTACTTTTTTATGCAAACTCCTTAAAATGGTCCACAATTTAATTATCCATACATTATTAATACTTTTTAAAGAAACATCTCGTATAAAGAATTATAATATTTGTTTTTTTTTTTGTAAAAAGTTAAATTTGATAGATTTAAAAAATTTACATAATATATTATATTATGTGTTTTACGAGGATGAGGTATTTTTATACTATTCGTTTCCTATGGCACCACAGCGCCACACTTCCAAATTGTTCGCCATTATAATTGGTTAAATAACACTTGTATTTGGCATTCCGCAACCGTCCTGCTAGTTGCTACCTTTGCTACAATGCTTCACTAGAGTGCGCTGTCCAAAGCTAACTTCACTATATTCCGATAAGCTTATAAACACAACCAGATGGCGCATCACACGCCCTCAAATTTAATATGAGTAATAAGTGTAAAGTTTCTTTTGACTTTTCTAGACGACGTGCTTCTAGATGACTGGAGACTCTTTGATTAGATGAGTTCACAATAAGAATACAATTTTATAACGAAATAGTTGTAATTAGAAACAGCCATAGAGGTCGTATCTGATATGAGTACTCAAAGTACATAAATTTGTCAATATTTGTGATGTTATTTAATTATTTACCTTTTTGGGATCGGTAATCTTATAATGTTACACATTTTTTTGTAAATAATTTATAAAGTTTCATGTAAATGTCAAATATATTTAAAATTTGACCAATTTTGGATTTTTATAATAAGATTTGGAACTTAGTTCTTGGAAAATGTAAGTCGTTAGTATTTATAAATTATAACCAGTTGTAACTTTTTTTTAAATAATAAATAACAAGTATAAATATAAAAACATTAACACATAATAAATATAATATCCGTAGTCAACTTTTTGTTTCTTGGAGAATTTATGTCTTTATTTCGTATAATGCATATATTTTGTAATGTTTTGTGGTATATTCATCGAATTTTTGGTTTACGTAATATTTTTATTTCTTTATATTTTTGATGAAACTATTTTTTTAAATTCATATAACTTCCAGTATAAAATGCACTGTCGACAGTGTCGTAAATGTCTAAATAGAAGTGAAGGTATAAAATGTGACGAATGTGAGTCAGTGTATCACATTCAATGTACTGGTAACAAAATGAAAGATTTAAAATTGGAAAGTGGTGATAAAGGTTATCGTTGGATATGTGCAAGATGTAAAACTCCTGCAAGCAAGACATCTGTTGAACTTTCCGATCCACAAGCTTTACTTAATTCCATCAATGCAATAACTGATAAATTTGAATTAATTAACAAAATACAATTACCGAAATTGAATAATGATTTGTTACATTTAAAATGTGTAACTGAACGTATTTCAAAACAAAATGATGAAATACTTGCAAAAATAAAAATGTTAAATATTAGAAGAAGTAAAGATCCTGTGCGCAGTAGCCCAGGAAGTCATGTAAGGCGGAGAAATTTAAACATCTCGCCACGATCAAATTTTATGGAGGAAAAAACTCCAATTTTGGGTGCTGAAAAAAGCGCAACCTACAGAACTCGAAGACGATCTTACTCTTTGTTGAAAATGTTCCTCCAATTTAACAGAAAATTAAATCATAGAAGAATTCATAGAAGCAACTAAAATAAAATATATTTTAAACAATCAATATTCTTTAAGTTTTGAATTGGTTTTAGTATGTAGCACGAAAGTGTTATAGAAGGATATTAATTGTACTATATGTTTAGTTGATTAAGTTTGAAATTTCGAAGATATCGACACATTACGTTTCTTCAAAAACATATTCATAAAATATTTAATTTTCCCTTCTTTTCAATTTTAGACATTGCAATTTTACATAGAGTTTTCTGTATCTAAAATATGATATTGCTGATGCCGCATAAACCTCACAAGTTATGCCTTGTTTGAATTATACCTTCGATCTTCGGTAAGAGGTTTATCAACATCCTTTGGCGCTTGATTAGATTTTTAAACTATATAGATAAAGCGTTCTATATAGCTTCCAGTTCGGATAAATTAAAAGTTATAATACTACATTTGACTCTATTCCAGTGCGGATTACTATAGGTATAGCATACAAAGTAGTAGAAGATGAATAAATAATTACTACTCTGATGGCTCATGACTAGTTCGATATTACACAAAATATTCCTTAGGTTCTTAGTCTAAAAATTTACAAGGCCGACAACAATTCGACGTGACGCGTTAAAGTATTTTTTTACAGTTATTATTATTCCATACCTACTTTGGCATTGACATCGTCGGTAGTTTGATTGAATGAACATATTTAAAATTATATACTTACAGCTTTGAGGGCCGTGATAACATACATATTTTAATATTATAAAATTTTAAACTAATTAGTGCAAGTAAATGTTTATTACTTTACCTTCTTAACTTAGGCATATTTTTACATGAGATATGGAAACGCGTATACTTTATATTATATCATGTATTAAAATTAAATCACAAGTTCAGACAGGAAGTGATACCTATAGCCGCCAGACAAAAAAAAATGTATTCATGTATTAGGCGTTCCATGTCTCACTGCAGGGCAAGCACCTCCCTCAACGCGAGAGGGATCAGGCCAAAGTCCACTATGTTGGCCAAGAGAGGGGGGGAGGGCGTATTTCACGTCTTTTAAAAACTTGCTAGTTTCTCTCAAACATGCAGGTTTCCTCACGATGTTTTACTTTATCGTGTAAGCGGTAATCATGTTGGAAATGAATCGGAAATGAAAATACCGTAGGTGCGAGACCCAACATTTGAATTTGATTCACTTGGTTTCTCGAGTTAGTGCCTTAACACTGGGCTACCGCTGCTCAATTATTATCATTTAAATTTAAAACAAAAATGTTATTGAAATCTGATAAAACATCTGGTTCAATACTCTAAGCAATATGCAGTTAATCTCAGATGGAATTTGAAAAGTACTTATGAAAGACAGAGCTTATCATCTGTTCGAATAGATACAATTAGAAGACCGTCTGAGATTTTAGTAACTTTTTTAATGTTGGAAAATGCATATACGAACATCGCCTGCATACATACGTATATATATGTGATCATGAGGGCCTCGCCAGCTATAAAAGCCTTCGACGTTTTATTTTAATAACCTAACCTAACTTGTACTTAAATACTTTAAAAGCGTAAATACCTAACTAGTTCTAAGTGACTTGCATCATAATATGTGGTCATTTACATGCTAATTTAATACATAGATACGCACGTCGCACAGTTCTAATAATCTATACTGTACACATGTAATAAAACTGTAGAGGTTGAATGTATGTACATAGAAAAAAAATGCTAAAAACCGATTCAGGGGGATGTAAGAAGAGAAATATAACAAATCCAGATTTTTTCAATTTTTTTGTTCCTTTGTCGGTTTGTACGGGCTAATCTTCGAAACTGTTGGACCGATTTAAATGAAATTTTGCATGGTAGTACGTTATATCCTCGGTCAACATTTTAGATACTTTACATCCCGGAAAATTAAAGAGTTGCCGTGGGATAGTTAAAAAACTAAAGTAACTTATACAGCTCAGTACACAACTACTGATTGGATTTTAATGAAACTTTACAATAATATAGTTCATACATCAGAATAACAAATAGGCAACGTTTTATCCCGGAAAAATGTATGGTTCGTGGGATAGATTCGTTTTTGTTTGTCTAGAGGCGAACCTGATTGAAAAAAGGGGGAAGCGCTAGTTTCTAACATAACATATTACGGGTATTTTTACTTCTTAGCTCATCGTACGATTTCTCTTACTCACTTTCAAAAACCATATTTCGTATGGTATTTTATTTACTCTTTTTTTCTCTCTCTCTCGCTCCTTATCTCTCTAAAAACATTATTTTTAAAGATATTAAATAAGTAGTATAAAAACTAATAATACGACATAGTATAATGTGTAGAGGCCTTTAATCTACGATATTTTACTCAGTTGATGAGTTGATATTGGCGGTGACGTCCAACGTACGTATGCCTGGGGCTAAATAAACTGTGAAATGTACGCTACGGGTTAAAGCAATTACTGCATTGTACGCTTGTAACCGACTTCCAAAAACGAGGAGGTTCTCAATTTGTCGGAATCTTTTTTTTTTGTATGTTCACCGATTACTCAAAGACGCCTGAACCGATTTGGAAATTTTTGTTTTGTTTGAAAGAGTCTACTGCCCAGGTGGTCCTATATAATATATTTTTTCGAAATCGGTCGATTGGTTTTAAAAAAAATCTACAATAAATATATTTTTTTAATAAATTGCTTAATCGAATATGTTATTAAAAAACTTTCTTCTTACAAATTACCTGGTTATTACCTCTACAATAAAAATGGAAAAATAAAAACTTAAAAAAAACCGACTTCCAGGCACTAAAATGTAAAAAATCACTAAACGGGAGTTTTCATTTAAAATAGATATTTTCAAAGTCGGTGCCAGTCGACAATATTTTAAGATATGAATATCTAATAGGATATCATCTAGGAATCAAAATAGGAAATCATCCCTTAAGGCGGTGAAAATGGGGATGAAAGTTTGTATTGGGAAGCATGCTAGGGACGAACCGAGCGAAGCGTGGGTCAGTCTCTAGTACATGTAATAAAATTCTAACCGAGTCGAATCTGGACCTACATTAAATATTTTTTTTGGAAAGTCTTATTGAAATAGTCATTATTATCGATACAGAGGCCGAATCTATAATTTTTAGAAGTTTTGTCTGTCTGTCTGTCTATCTGTCTGGCAAAGCATCACGAGAAATCCACAGGACAGATTTTGATGAAATTTGGTATGATTTTGTCCGGGTAAAATTTAGGATACTTTTTACTGCGGAAAAATGTCTCTTAGAAATCTATATATCTATAATGTTGATGCTAGAAAAAGAATCTAATAAACTCTCAATTTGTTAAACATAATAATATAAATATTCAGTAATTTAAATGAAAGGAATATATGCGTAGGGCAAAAGTCATTTTGTAATATGTTAGGTACCTTCGCTATCTTCTATTCCTAGGTGCCTAATGCCTATACTACTGAGCATAGGCAACTCCCAAGTCGTAGCCTGTTTGTCTACTAATGTTTATCAAAATCCGTTCAGCCGTGTTAGCACGAAGGAATAACAAGGCACACAATAATACTATATAATATAAATTAACGCACAGAATAACGCGCACGCACACGCACACTCATACGCACACGCACACACATACACACACATATTACCAACTTGCGCATTTATAATAGTACGATAAGATTAATACGTGACATATTTAATTAGATTGAAAATTGGAAAGGCTAAAGGTAGCTACCTCATAAATGCTTGGGGATGCGTGCTACTAGCCTATATGTTATGCAAGTGAGAAACAGTCAGAGCATGTGATGGACCTGACCCTGTTTTTAATTAATATATCAATAAATGTATCATTAACCTAGTTAAATATTGGTGATAAAGATTTACAATCGGTAAATAATATAATCGTAATTTTATTACATTTCAAAGTATTAGTGCGCTAGTTAATTAAACGTTGACTGTAGGAGAGTGCCAAACAACCCTTACATATTATAATTATAAAGAAAATTCCTTTAAAAGTTAATATATACCATACTTAAGGCAGGGGTAGCCCAGTGATAACGCGCTGTGGAGCTGGTTCAAATCCCGGGTCTCGCACTTCTGATATTTTCATGAGCGAATCATTTCTAATATAATTACTACTTGTCTTACGGTGAAAGAAAACATCGTGAGGAAACCTGCAAGTCTGAGAAACCTAGCAAGTTTTCGAAAGACGTGTGAAGTCTTCCAACCCGCACTTGGTCAACGTGGTGGGCTATAGCCTGATCCCCCTTGTATTGAAGGGAGGCCCGTGCCCAGCAGTGGGACGTTAAAAAGGGCTGAATACATCTACCATATTTATGTAATGCCTGTGCAAGCGACACGGGCCGTAACTCTATCACAAATGCTGTATCCTACCTTAACGCTGTGTTACAAAGGAGAAGGACAAAGTACACTTGTAGAATCTACATAATATATATAATAAATAGGCAAATACAAAATGAAAACAGCTGTGGCGTAGCGTGTACTTATGCCACCCGGAGCGGAAGTCAAATTCGCCGCCCCTCTTCTTTGGGCAATTATATTAAGGCCAATAGAACGGGACAATATCCGATTAATAACTCTGGCAAGCGATTCGACCAGATCAAGTGAGAACTCATTTAACAACAAGGCACAATGCTTTTGCTATTCCAAATCAAGAAGCATTTAATGGCGCAAAATAGGATAAAATCTATAATGCTACTATAGTTTCGGGTCACAAATTTGTTGGTAATCAAAGAAGAAACTGTAAATCACACGTGCTTCGAGAAGTTTGTAAGATTATAATATGAGAGTGCAATAGACTTAAACTGTACTATGTTATCTGCAGTCAGATGGACTGGTGAAAAGGTGAAACTAAATCTTGGCACTAGGTACGGTTAGTATGAAACAGAAAAACTTTGTGATAACCAAAAACAAATCTATCCCACGGGAACCGATCATTTTTCAGGGATAAAAAGTAACCATGTTCTATTCCAGACTGTAATCTATCTCTATGCCAATTTCATCCAGGTCCGTCAGCCGTTCTGGCGTGATTCAGTAACAAACATCCCATCCATTTAAACTTTCGCATTTATAATATCAATGGGATTATCTATCATCTTTTAAGATGGTAAGATCCAAGTTTTGTGCCTAAGCAAAACGTCACTATATCTAAACCCGATAAATGGATTTGTGGTCGACTAATTAATTCTGTGATCTGGAATCAAAATCGCAAAAAGTAATAGGTATGTTGACGATAGATATTAATATAAAATTTTAGTATTTTACTTTTTGATTACTCATAAAAACTTCATACTACTTCGTATTTATATTCGCTAATAAAATATCAGTTATTACATGGTAAGTTATAATCAACAATGATTTGAAAACAAGGGGACTGTAGAATATATTTTAAGTTAAGTTAGCTTAGATAATGGCTCTAAATAGAACTCACCGAAATTAACAAATATTTGAAACACACACATTCCACAAACAAACACAGCACAAAATATCTATATTACGCTAAAATCCAGTTAAAACAAAAAACTCATAAGCAATGCACTCATATACAATAACAATTCGCCATGTTATTTGATGTTTTGTAATTACTGACCAATCACAAGCAGGATAAAACGTTGAGAAGCAGCTTTTCGAGCAACAAAATCTCGATTAGTGTGCATGTGTAAAATGCTAAAAATGATTGAAGTCACGTGACAATGTTCAATCCAAAAGTATGAATGAAACACAATTTAGTATGAACACGGTAAGCTAAAAATAAATTCAACGTCTCATCGTCGCATTTCTAAGAAGAAAAGCCTTTGGAAAAGAAATTTGGAGCGCAAATACATTTGGCGTTTATTATTTTCAGAAGTTGACTTAGTAATAATAGGTTGATTATTTAATTACTAATTATGTGTATTATTAATATTGAATAATCAAAAAATAAATATTAAGGTATATGATGAATGATGGATTATTGGATCTGTAAAAGGTAAGACGGTGGGAATCGTCTTGTATGGATTTATGTTTTTGAAAAGAAGAAGGTTTATAAATTAATTTTTATCTATTTCTTTTTAGTTTTATCATAATGAGCGTTGTTATTGTATTTGGATGTCAATAAATATAGTGTAACATAGTCATAAACATAAGAAATTCTATTGTTATCCCTACAATCTATCGCTAAGCTTTAATTTGGCCAGTGATGTAGTTATATTGCAAAGTTACAACCATCACTACCATATATCTTGAATTATATTTGTTTTACTCCTAGTCTTTAAGGAGTTCCTTCGTCTAGCGCCGAATCTCATCAACAGATAATTATCTATACAAAATTATTTTGCTAGTATACACTTTCAAACATACAAAGAAGCACGTAAATCGCGCCAGGGTCATCAGAGAATTGAGTTTCCACATATCAAACATAATCAAACAACTAACAATAACGCATTGTTCACCTTCAGAACTCACCCTGGTTTGCAGTAGGAATAGGTTTTTTGTAAACTTAATTATTACCAATATCAAATATTTCTAATAACAGTCGAAATTTACTCGTTTTGCTAAGGAGTTCTGTCACCTGACTCCGAATTCCACCATCAGAATATCATCATATTCGTATGGGACCACCGCGGGAGTATCAGATAAAAAGAATCTTGCAAATCGACTCAAAGACCTTGGAGTTGCATACAATAAGAGAAAAGAAAAATGCGGGTCGAACATCCTAATGTCTTCCTTTTTGGAAATCGGTTAAACATATAATAGTTAAATATATATGATCTATATATATATATATATAATTTATATATATATACTATACATATAATAAAATGCTGAGTCGAATCTGTACATTAAATATTTTTTGGAAAGTCTTATTGAAATACACATTAATATCGATACAGAGGCGGAACCTATAGTTTTTATCATTTTTGTCCGTCTGTCTGTGACCGAATCACAGAAATACCACTAGAGGGATTTTGAAGAAATTTGATATGGTAATAGCTAGTTATCCGGCTCAACATACAGGGGAAATCACTGCCATTATTTAACAACCATACGATGCGCAATTAAATTGTTATATGTATGTAAGAATATATAAGAGTATATAATATATATTCTTACATAAATAGAGAGTATAATAATATATAAGAGTACATATAGTAATATGTAAAATCTGAACGTAAGCGGAGCTGCGGACAATGCTAGTAATTATATATAAAAATAGTAAAAAATATATAAGAGTAATTATACCTTTTTGTTGGTTTTGTTTTATCATTGTGCAATCTACCTGCGTTGGAAGGATGGTAGGAAATAATTAGAGGTGGGTAAAAAGAGTTCGCACTATAGGTAATAGAAATTGTAATTATTAATGTAAATTCTGTAAATACACATCTGGAGCATATTTGATGATTTGTATGTAAATTCGCATACATTTATTACCATCTTCCCCGGATAAATATACAGAAATAACTTAAGGTAAATAATTTTGAAAGGTTAAGTACCGTGATATTCCAAGAAGTGAAAAACTTGTTTTGTCTGCGATGCTTGTTATATTGTTAGCCCTTCTCGTTGCTGGACAAATGATATTTCTGTCAGGTGATTGAATACCACTTAACTAGCATTTTTCTTTATCTGTCGTCGTATCGCCATGAAAGTTCTGTTGTTCAATGAATCTCGATAAAAATATAAAGACAGAACTACACCAAATCGCACAAATTTTATAAATACCAAAGCGATTGCGAGTTAATGAGATTTTATATTTGTTATTGCTATACGGCTCAATATAGTTAAGTAAATTTATTAATGAAGGGATCCTGTATGTAAGATATAATGTACTATTTTATCGACGCACCTGCGCGATAGCGGAGCCAGAGCGGCGAGCAAAAACTTGTTGAAGAAATATTTAAAACATCATTGAGATGTAACCTGTGGCAGCTTCGCCACGGTTTCCGGCAATCTTTAATAGTTCAACCTTGAAGTAGCTTAAAGAATGTTGCGTAGCTTCCGCATTCAACTAGGATGCCTCGATAACGTGCTAAATTCGGTTTCCCTTGTGCTCTAAATTTTCCTTCTTGCCTTCGACATAGGTTTCATGATATTTTTTATTGTTTATTAAAATGGAAGAAGACACGAAGCGATTTACGAACGAAAGTATTTGATCAGAGAGACTAAAATACTCGTAATTCTAATTTTACCTACATATTAGCGTTAGCTGATATGTAAGACATCTGTATAGGTATCGCTTAAGCTAAAGTGTCCCTTTAGCTCAAGCTAACTTTTAGTCTCTATAAGACAATTAAGTAGTTTCAATTTTAGAAAACAATATAAAGTAACAAAGCTGCTAAAAATATCTGCTTAAGTAGGTATGTGTTAGAAGTACGTACGTACATATAAAGATATTTTTAATGTCAAACATAAATTATTTATCTGTTAATATAAAAAAAATCCTTATTGCCCCAGATAGGACTAAGTATTTATTATTTGACATCTTTTTTAATATTTCCCCATTGCCCACTTTCGCAGGAATTTCCTTTAAAATAAAGTATAGTAGTTAAATATTCCTCAGCCCTCCGTTATAAACAATAATTTTGTTTTATGATGTTGTTAAAACACAAATTTCTAGATATAACTTTATTTTAATTTACCATTATCCTTATTTTAAATTTATATCTACTTGCTTCTTTAAAAATATTGATAGGTATATTAAAATAATACTCTAATCTATTGAGTACGTATTACGTATGTATGTATGCTGTTTTTAAGCGACTTGCTTATTCTTATTTAACCGTGGCATTCGACAGTACGTTTTCATTTGTTTTTTTGTTTTCGTTATTAACGGTTCTGCTATGGAGTTATCTCACGTTGTGCAATGGCTTTTACAAGGGATTTTTATTTATGTGACGTGTGTATATGGAGAATTAAGACCAATTCGTAAGACCCCTTTAGGGGATATGATGGGATATTATATGGAAACTCGAGGAGGGCGGCAAATATCCGCGTTCACTGCAATACCTTACGCCGAACCTCCTCTTAAGAACTTAAGATTTAAGGTTTGTGTAAAAATTATTACTATTTAGTATAGAAAAATATTCAATAAATATTTTTGATAATTTAAAACAGTTAACTATGAATATATATATTGCATATAATGATAATAGTAATACAAACATCTTGCGTATTCGCATTGAGCATAATATTCAGAAAGTACTTACTAATCGGGACCTACTTGTACTTTTTGAAATATTCTTTGTGTTAGATAGCCATTGATTCAGCTTATAGTTATTATTTGCCTAAACAGGTATTAAATTATTCGCGCCTCGTTCGCAAACTTTGTGGACCCATTTTATTGGTATTTTTATTCCTGCACTACTACATAATAAAGACAAAATTGTTTCTGACAATTTTCATTTCCATATGTGGATTCTAGACATGGCTAGAGCTCCGAGTTCTAAGTTTAAGTTTAACGGGAGCCATCTTTAGTTCCCGTTTAGTAAATAGAATGAGATGTTAATCATTAGTCGCAGAACATAACGATACACAACTCTAATATTATTTTTACTATGATTACTGACTGCTGACTAACCAAATGTTGTTTTTTCCTGCATTTTACTTCATTTTTTATCTTCATTTATAAACTAGAAGGTCTGGTCTTGTGACTCTATAGTATTATATTTTTTGCCTTAAACTCCAATGATGATTTACGTTAAATAAAAATGAGGTGTACTAATTACACTTGCCTTTTTTAGACTGTTAGTAAAGGGGTCATTCAAAATACTAAAACACTGGAATACTATAAGTATGCATTTCATTTCTCAAAAATACAGAAGAACATAGGACAACTTTCTCCTTTAGGGAAATTTTAATAAAAAATGATACGTGCAGAGACGACATTACTTTCTGGTCCCATATTATATTGTGATTTACTAACAAAACATTATAGTATGGATATTCTTTGAAATATGTAATATTTTAGAACTAAAAATTTGTTTTTAAAATAGAAGAAAAACTCCTACTGTAAGTAAAGTCGTTTAAACAAACAAACAGTAAGCCGACAATTTATTATTTAATCTCAAAAACGAGTTACGCAAATGTAAAGCTATTTTCTTGTCTGTTTTGAAAATCTTAAGTCCTATTCATATATTTTTCCAGAATTTGTCTCAATGCGTGCATATAATAGCGAAACAACATATTTTTCCTTAAGAAGTTCAACGTGTGAACAATTATAATTTCCATAATAATGTTAATGAATAGATCCTGTTTTATAGTTTTGTGAAACAAATAAAATCCACGAGACATTTTTACCACAAGATATTAAGGAATTAACCCGTAGAAATGCAAAATATTTATGTTATAGGATAGACTAGTTGAGGTTATAATTGGTACGCATGAAAGGTTGTCTCAATTACTTTTAATTGGATCTTTGAATCGGATCCACTTTTGATTTACGTAGCATGTTATTTTTATGTGAAGTGCTATAGTATTACTATGGTTTTTATGGATTTCCGACTCGAGATTAATAGGAGAGGTGGGTCCTGTCCACAGCGAATTCAGCTTGGAGATTCAGCGGGATATAGTAGTGAGCTTGGTGTTTATACGTCTGTATCTTCACATCTCTTTTTAATGGCATATGTTTGAAGGTGGAATTTTCAGTTCACATCTTTGCTCAATGCTGCTGGATTTGAGTTTATTTTGCCATTACATAATGCATCCCGCATCTTCTTAAAGAAATTTTAAGAGACAAAAATTGCTTATTCCCATAAGAATAGGTTTGGTTTATAAAAGTAATCTGCATTTTCGGCCCCTTCACGTAATTCTTTGTTATTAACCTGGATGTGTCATACCTTAGTCCCCTAAGGTTTTGACTGATTTCTTTGGACTCGTTGTGCAGTCACATATATACTTTATAAATTAATACATATATACATAATAAGTATGTATATAGGTACATCTTAGTGTTTTATGTAGGTAACTAGTTTTGTTTTCCTTTTTCCATTTTTCCATCTAGTCACGGTAAATTGTCTCTCTTATCTTTACGAATTTTGACAATTTTTCATTTTCCTCAATAAAAACAAGGTTATAATACCTGTAGACAAGAAAACCAATTCATCAATAGTTTATTGGTTACTCATAATCATTAAACATGTTCGTTATACAGGAGATATGTGATTTACTAATATTTAACTTTAAATTAAAAAATATACAGCACTTAATTATTACATTTTTTCCTGAATGTCATAAGTTTATCACCAGTTTGAAAAGACAAAGCCTCTGTCCTGAAAAGAACTACAGGCTATTATAGCTCTAAATAACACTGAATTCCTAAAATGAGGAGCAATTGCTTGCTTGGTTTTTCTCCCCACTTCTTGTATTGCACAATATTAACTTGCTTATAAATAATGAACGAACGAACAAATAAACAAACATACTTTAACATTTATAATATTACTGGCGACTCACCCTCGAATTGCTCGGGTTCGGCCCTAGGTTGTTTCCCCATACAAACTATCACCCCCATTTTCACCCCTTTAAGGGATGATTTCCGGGATAAAAACTATCCTATGGCCCCTCCCAGGGTCTCAAACTATCTTCTTACCAAATTTTATCTAAATCGGTTCAGTAGATCCTGAGATTAGCCCCTACAACGTCACAAACTCTTTAAAATATTAGAATAGATATTTACTTATATTCTTCTTTAAGTGTAATTATAATTAGAAATTAAAACACGAATAATTAATTTCTCAGTACATAAAAGCAATGTCTCTATTAAAAGAGTTTTAATATACGATAGGACTGGCATGTTCTAAAAGGATGAAAGTCCCTTTGTCAGGAATACGTTCGTGCACACGTGAATACTTACAAAAAGTTGAGTACTACCTAGAATTTCGACTCGACCATATATTAAATTCCCAAAATGTTGCTTTGAAATACCTACAGTTAACAAAAATAGTTTATTACTTTTACTCGGAAGCTGAGAGTAGATTTTGAAATAAGCTATTTGTTGTGTGAAAATTCAGAATACTTTAACAGGATAATAAATAGTTAGGTACTCGTTTGTTTTGCAAAAAGGAAACTACAGCAGCTAATAAATAATTATCATCGTTTCTAAAATCCCCTGAGAATTTATTAGAATAGTAATATCACAAATACCTATTATTATACTGACGTTACAATGTAGACGACATTGCGCGTTAGATGCCTACGTTGTTATGAAGAATAACAGCTAAGATACTTAATTATGTGTTATTTATCCAACCCGGCGTCACCTGCTTGCTTGCACAAAATTTCTAACAACTCAATCGAGTGGAGTATCAAAATAAAGGCTTTTAAGAGGCGATCACAAAAAGAAAAACATATATTTTTAAAAGTAAAGGACAAAAAATTGCTGTTGCTTGTTTAGTTAATATTTTCTTTATTTATTTAAAAATATTAACATGACCTCTCTTCGTCTTATTAATGAACACGTGGAGTTTATATTTTTAGTGTATTACTTATACGTTTATTAATGGCATCTCCTATACGCCTTGTATATAAAAATGGCAGTTTGGCTGGTATGTATTGGTATATTATTATTATTTTTGTTGGCTGTGGTGCCGAGGTCGGCCCTAGCTACGTCGACCAGTTTTGGTCCATTGTAGCTATGTATTGGTATAGCAATACATTGTAACTTATAATATTTTACCTATGGAAGATAAGAAACAATAAGTTTTAACTAATGCTACTACAACTATCTATACTTATAATAAAATTGTAACTAAGCCGAATCTGTACATTAAATATTTTTTGGAAAATCTTATTGAAATAAACGTTGTTATCGATACAGAGGCCGAATCTATAGTTTTTAGAGTTTTTGTCTGTCTGTCTGTTACCGCATCACAGTAAAACCACTGGAGGGAATTTGATGAAATTTAGTATGGTGATAGGTGGTTATCCGGGTCAACATATAGGATACTTTTACCGGGGAAAATATCTCATTTCTCAGAAAAAATGCAAAAACTGCAATGTAAGAGTACACTAATATGTACAACCTTATTTTTTGGTCATCTGAACGCGGGCGGAGCCGCGGGCAGTGGTAGTTAATTATAAACTTAAACAACATTGTAATAGTGGATTTGGTAAGGATTATCAAAACAATAAGTGATGATACAATAATAGTTTAAAGTCATGTACATATTTAAATGAAAAAGTAAAGGTATAAAATATTCAGATCAATAATTACTAATTAATCACTATCGCGATAAATAAAATGGAATTGGAAATAATACCGACGATAATACCTATAGGCTTTTTAAAACAATAAATTCATGGACGCTTGATCTTTGAAAGTGTGTGAAACTGTTTGAAATTATAATAATGAATGGCTCATAAATTACCATAAAAAGTTGTAGTCTCGTGCAAAGCAATATTAATTTTAAAAGTAGCGGTACTCAATCGTTCGGGCCGCCATGGTGTGATTTCACAATGGAATAAAATGGCATTGATAGAGCATTACAGGTTTAATAAAAAATATTTTACTCTTTTTGTTTGTGTCATACGATTTGTGAGTAGCTATATCTATCTATTTTCATATCGAAAACGCAGCAAGGATGTAAAATCCAGCACATATTTGTTGATTTAAAATAGTATGAAATTGCCATTGTAATGATTATAAAGTTTTATAAATGTATTATCTATTTTATTTATATTTAATACATTACTAAATTTAAATAAAATGTACTATTTCAAAAGTTCCTTTGAAATTGGATAAAACTAAAAAACAAAAATGGCAAAGTTTGAATTCTATTTTTATTGAGTCACCAGTATCTAATACAAAACCTATGATGAATTTATGATTCTATTAGAAAATTACATGTCATGTTAATATGTAGGTAACGATTTAGTATAAAATAGGGAAGTATTAAAACCTGTTGACTCGAACATTTCCAAGGATTACAATAGACGCTACATAAATTGCAGTGAGACCCCCATATTAATAGCAGATTCACTCAGCTTTTTAACTTTTGTGATCATAAAAATAACTCTCAATAAAATTACTTATGAGCTGATACAAAGA